GGTGATCACTGAAGTTTTAACTTTAGCTGGAGCCCTGCTGAATAAAACACGACATTCAATGAGGAAAATGGGTTGATTTTATCCAATATAATTTGAAGAGCTTGAAACCAGAAAGGAGTCAGACCTGAATACATGTTTGCTAAAAAAAAACAAAAACAATATCTAAATAGCTATTTGACTATTTTGTCATGCATCAATGAATTATTCACAGTAACACCAGGGAAGTTAACTAAGCAAAAGTAATGAATGTCCAGGTTGATTTCATGTTCACTGTTAATGAGTCTATATATAAATATGACAAACATATAAAACAGTATCAAGGGACTAAATAGGAAATACAGCCATGCTGTGGAGCTCTGGTTTAGACTATAAATTGTTCTTCAAGCCAAGGGTGAACACCTGCTCAGGGCGAAGAGTTAGATGCTAATTACTGCCATTAGCATTCAAGAGGAAGGAGCATGAATAATCACTGATATACCAGAAGTAGAGCCTCCGATCTGAACACAAAATCTGAGCACAAACAAGTCTGATATTTAGACACTGTGAGCCTGTGTGCCTGAGTGAGAGAATGAGAGATGTCACCAGCGTTTCCTCTGAAACTCTACGAGCAAAGACAGGTCAGTTACCATGTCACAGTGCTGTAATGGGATCGTGGGATCATTGGGGTGCAAGACTTTTTCATTGTCAGCAACCAAGCTTTATGTTCAAAACACTGAGTGCGCATAAACCACGTGCTACTCACTCTTGAAAGTAAAGCTTCCAAAAGAGGGTTTCACAGTAATGCCATTGAAGGACCATTTTTGGTTCCTCAAAGAACCTTTCACTGAAAGTTCTTAAAAGAACCGTTTTTCTTAGTGTGTGAAACTATAATATATAACTACCATAAATAACATTTAATGTGTAATGGAGAGTTTCCATGGATGCTAAAGATTCTTCATGATACCAATAAAAAAGCTTTATTTTCAAGAATGTAAAAAATGAATCTGTTTTTTGGCTGAATATTTAAAATTTATGCTATAACAAGCTCCATATTAAGATGGGGTAGGACTAAAAAGGCACAAAATCTCATCTCAGTACATTTGATGTACTTAATTTCGTATCTTAATTTTGTTATTTCATTTGAATATTAACATTTCTGAGATTTAGTCAGTCAAAACAGTTTTGAAGTTAACTATGAAGTTGAATATCAAAAGGGATTCGTGGACAAGTTTTTTTTTTGTTTTTTTTGGTGAAGGAAAACAGTGTAAAGGCAAAATTACATTTGGGGTAAGATGAAGATTTAACTGAATACATATTGTAATTCAATGGGGTTATTATTTAAAGGGGTCCTATTATGCGTTTTAACTTTTTCAACTTCAGTTAGTCTGTAATGTTGCTGTTTGAGCATAAAAAAGATCTGCAACGTTACAAAGCTCAAAGTCCACTTCAAAAGGAGATATTTTATTTAACAGAAATCACTTGTAAAAGAGCATAATAGGACCCCTTTAATATTTCCAGGAGATATGTACATTTTAGACATTTTCACTATTCTTTAAAACCTATAGGTTAATTAAGTGAAATCCTTTACATTGAATTCAGTGTTGCTGTTATTTTAACCTTCAATTAAAATATGGACAATTAAATTATTTATATATTCTTGTGCCTGAATATGTCACAGAAAAAATATACCTTCCAGATGAATCTGTTTTACTGGGATTCTGCTTTGTCTGTCAATGGTTATTTAATTATTTATCCAAATTGTCCAACTTCTCTTTTAAACAGAATAGCTTATTTATTTATTGATTGATTTATGTATTGATTTATTTATGTACATTAAATGACACTAAGAATACATAAGACTATATTAAAATTATATCAAAAGTTACTTCCCAGTGGTGCAAATGATGTTGAAAAGACATCAAATTGACATTAAAAAAAACTGGTCAAATATGCAAATCAAACTGATGTCAAAAAATATGATGTTGATTTGAGGTGAACTAAATGTCAAACATTTTAGACTACATTAAACCAATTTCACCCATTTAAAACTAGAAGTAATTGCAGTCCAAACTGAATTTAAAATTATGTTTCAGCATCTTGATCAAGTATTGACTAATAATAGTTGACGTCAAATTGATACCAAGGTGCCTTCTGGGTTATACATTCTGTAACAGTTTACCCAGAGGTTTACCTTTTTGAATAATTTTACATTTTGGGCTATTATAACTAAATATGTTTCCCTTAATAACACATTTGCTGATGCATCATTGCCCTGCACATGCTAAACATGTAGCTAAATATGTTACAAATTCAGATAAAATGCACATTGTTCTTAAGTTCCTCCGTCTCACCCTGCTTTAGTTAGCAAACAAGCCCATCTGTACACTGCACTAATCAGTCATTTCTGCTTCACTCGAGTGAAACAATGTCCACATCTTTGGATGATACTCAGAAGAGAATCTCTCAAGATTGCTGTCCCATGTCATAGATGACCCTGTAACATTGCCATGTTGTCTCAAGTACACTCCATCTTACTCATTGATTTACTGTAGGTTATTCCGGTCTGGAAGTGTGACAAGAATCGATTTTACTTTGGTTGAGGAGACTATGTGAACTGTCAATAACCACAGCTAACTAAACGGCACTCCAATGGAGCAGTGAGTCCGGCGTGTGCGTCACACATAATTACAGCTTCTATAAGGAAGGCATCAAAACACATCCAAATCTAATATTTGCATAATATCTTCTATGTTGCCTGGTTGATTTTTGAAGCCAGCATGGATATCCTAACAAGTTGGCCAGTTGGTTAAAGAAGAAAAATGCAGTGTGATGGAGCATTTCATTTATAAATGTCCGATTTCTACAGAGAAATAAGGAGTGGTCATCTAAAGCTCACTTGAATTTGTTCTAGATCATTAGAATTGGCGTTTACGTGCCTTGAAAGCTGATCTGAAATCTTTTTCTAAGGCTCCTTCACTGAGAAACGCTGTCAAGTAAGACACTTGGCAAACTATGTGGTTGTAAAGCATAGCATTGCTATTTATTGTGTGATTTGACACACTGCAAAGTATACATGTTAGTGTCAAACCACATATTCATACTCACTGCATGATCTGACTCATTGCAAAGCATACTTTTCAAGGAGCAACACATATATTGCTACTTCATCATTGCATGGTCTGACATCGCAAGCATGCATACTGTTTTGCCCTAATCACTGAATGATCAGATTTTTATATGCAAAACACAGGTTTTTGTTTTGTCTAATTGCAAAGGCTATGTTTTACATGCAAAAAGACATATTCCTGATCTGACTCATATATGCTCTGATGGATACTGTAGCTCTGATATTACATGCAAAAACGCATATTCCTATTCATTGCACGATCTGGCTGACTGCAAACTTCTGAAAAGTTTTCAAACTGAGGTCTTTTCCAAATAAAGAAAGTTGTGTATTCGGATGGATTACTTGTGGATTATTGGGATGTTTTTATCAGCTGTTTGGACTCTCATTCTGACGGCACCCATTCACTGCAGAGCATCCATTGGTGAGCAAGTGATGTACTGCTATATTTCTCCAAAACACATAAAGGATGGATCCATTGATCTTGTTTACGCACATTCTGACCCCTCCATCTGCATGTTACCTCAGAAAGGCGCGTCACACCAGGTGACGACTTTCCAATCTTGTGCCGTCCAGTTTTGGCGAGCCAGTGTCCAGGTTGGCTTCAGTTTGCAGCTGTAACCTGACAGGAGCAGAAGCCAGTGTGGTTTGACAAACATCACAACGCATGAATATTTTAGCTACTGTCGTCATCCTGTCAGCTTCAACCATTCTGAACTCTCATTAAAAAAAGCAATTTAGACCACATAACTGCCACTCAACAGATGGCTGTCACAAGTTTTCCGTAATAATAAGATGGTTGCACGATTGATAATATATATATAGAAACTCACAGCAAGAACTGGCAAATATGGTGCAGACCATGAGGATGAAATATTGACCCTCCTTTGTTCAGGGACTTATTCCATTTCTTTTTTTTTATGTTCAATACAAATATTTACATATTAAGAAATTTACTGGTATTAAAAGCAGTTGAATGCAATGTACATTTCTTTTTTTTGCTGAGTTTACATGTAAGAGCCACAGCCACACATTGTTTTTTTATATAGATGTGGATTTAATTTTGAATTGAAAAAGTGCAATATAATATTTAAATATTACTGAAAACGTTGAAATTGAAAATCCCATAATATTGCTTAACGAGGGTGATGGAATTTTTTGCAATGACTGTTAGTCTTTGAAATGCAAGACGCTACAATTTTTTGACTACGTAACACTTTTTTCAGTTAATTCATTAATAAACATTGTTAAAAGTTATTACTGGAATATCACAGGCACAAATATAATAAACCAGATGGATTGATACTACACCATTTTTTTTTTTTTTTTAAGTTACTAAAGTTCCCTTCAAATAAATGTTCTTTTGAACTTTATATTTATCAAACAATCCTGAAAAATGTCACGGTTTAAAGAAAAATATGAAGCAGCACCGTTTTCAAAATAATAAATGTTTCTTAAGCAGCAAATCAGCATATTAGAATGATTTCTGAAGCATCATATGACACTGAAGACTGGAGTAATGATGCTGAAATCACAGAAATAAACGACATTTTGCCAAACTACTATATGGCTTAGTGCACTTATCAAATCACAAAAGGCTGTGATTTATTTAATAATATAGTCGGTTGTGCTGCATGTTTCAGAATGACGCACACAGACGTGCTTCTGAGTGTATGTATATATATATATACATATATATACATATATATACATATATATACATATATATACATACATATATATACATACATACATACATACATACATACATACGCACACACTGAGTGAATATAGCAAACTTGAAAATATATATATATATATATATACATACATACATACATACATACATACGCACACACTGAGTGAATATAGCAAACTTGAAAATAAAAAGACAGGCATTAAACTGATACAGTACACTCTAGGTTTAATATTCCTATAACTAAAGGTTTTAATTCCCTGACAAACTGCAGGACCAGCAACACTGCTCTACATACAGAAATCAGAAGAGTACAGAATGACATACACATCCTTCCTGACGTTCAAAGACAATATTAGGAAAGAAAACACACTATACCATCATTACAAATACAAAAAAAAAAAAAAAAAAAAAAAAAATTGAAAAAGAGAATTTATGAATTTGTCAACTTGACAAATTCACTTTATGAATTAAATTTAATGAATTAAAGTTCTGCATTTCTTATTGCAGGAAAAACTTCCTCCCTCAAAAAGCAGCCTGGTCACACATTAAACACGATACCAATCAACCCTTCACAGATGAACACAGAAAAGAACATCCAAGCCTGAAGGGAAGGGTGGATTACTATCGAGGTCAAACCCAAAGGGAGCGTATGACTAAGCTCTATAGGGTTATTAGATTGCTTGACTTGAAGAGAAGGGGTAGTGGGTGAACCATGACAGATAAACAGAAATACAGTATCAGACAGAATATTGATCATGTGCACACATACACACTCGTGAAGGAAAAGCTCCGGTTTTCAAACCAGACGAATCTTTGGCTCACTCATCTGGATACAACAGCTCGATGGAGAATCCCTCAGACTCATGACATTTTCTCAAACACATACACCAGGTATATGCCTACAAAAAGAGAGAGAAGGCAGAGCTGTTGTTCAAGGTTAAGGATGAGACATTATGATCTGCCACTGTATATAAAACACATTATATAGCCTTTAAAAACCCATATTTAATGTCATCTCATTTCACAAGGACAAGGCATGTTATTACTACCAGGTGCAAACCAGAATTGACTTCAATTTTGAATACAGGAATCTCAAATTTAATGCACGTAATAATTACACTAAACACAACAAACATAAAAATAGAAAACAAACCCAAGTTGAAAACGGCAGCAATTAACGAAACATTTCACCGTAAATAAATACCTAATGCTGTGCACAAACTTGAATTGAATAATGAACATGAACCGTCTTTCAAACGAGAAACGTCTTTCAAAAACATTTAAAAACTCCAAATGACCCCAATCTTTTGAACGGTAGTGTTTATTAACACTACTGTTCAAAAGATTGGGTAGTGTTTATTAACACTACCGTTCAAAAGATTGGGTAGTGTTTATTAACACTACCGTTCAAAAGATTGGGGTCGTTTGGACTTTTTAAAATGTTTTTAAAAGACGTCTCTTATGCTCACTGAAGCCGCATTTATTTAAATAAAAAATGATAGTAAAAACAGTCATATTGAGAAATCTTATTACAATTTAAAATAACTGTTTTCTATTTGAATATACGTTAAAATGTAATTTATTTCTGTGATGCAAAGCTGAATTTGCAGCATCATTACTCCAGTCAGTGTCACATGATCCTTCAGAAATCATTCTTGCATGATGATTTGCTGCATTTAACATTTATTGTTTCTATCAATGTTGAAACCATTTTGCCGCTTCATACATTTGCAGAAATAAGAATTTTTTTTTTCAGGATTCTTTGATGGATAGTAAGTTTAAAAGAACAGCATTTATTTGAAATAGTTTTTTTTTTGTAACATTCTAAAGGTCTTTACTGTCACTTTTAATACATCCTTGTTGAATAAAATCATTAAGTTCTTTCACTTTGGAATTGTAGAGCACACAGAAACAGAGATGGAGAGATAGGACAGTTTAGGAGAGTGTGTGTAATAAAACAAACAAATTTTGAAATATTGAAATATATCATGGTACTGAATGCAATCCACATTCATATTAAAAGAAAGCCACGATACTACCATGGTACGTGAAAAAAAAAGAAAAAAAAAAAGCATGTAACTACTTGAACTTTTCTGTTCGTGTAGTTGCAAGTTAAGCGCTTCTAATTTAATAGTTTTTTCTCTCTGATGGCCAGCCCACACACTGTATTTCAGTATGAGAAAACATCAAGTACTTTATCTTAAGAAGAAAAGTGATTTCACAGCTGGGGTCTTTAATTTCATGGCTTGGGTGCGCGCAGTCCTTTTGCGTGTTACACTCTATGAATATTCATGTCCAACAGCTCAACTGTGACTTTTGATGAAAGTCACTATTATCTTAAGCTTTTTGTCATGTGAATTCATAAAACCCTCTGATGTTTTTTTTTTTATAAAGTTAAAACAGCTTTCTCTTTCAAAAGACGCCACTGATCACTGATTTCAACAGGAAGAACATCACCACGTACTTGTAGCATCCCACTCAGACTTGCTCAAGGTTCCCTGTGGAGAAAGAGCAAACGATCAGAACACAGTTAATACAAAGAAAAAATGCCCTCTGCTGAAGAAAACGATATTAGGGCTCACCAGTGGACGTCTGGCCGCAGGACTGGCAGCGACTCTCTTGGCGTGGTCGTACTCCCCCGGACTGTCGGACGCCAGTCGGCCCCTCTCGTCCGGAGGGTATTGCTATGACAACAAGACGACACAAAACTATTTGATTCTGGCAAAGCAAAGATAAGGCGGCATTGGTTCAACAGATATCATTATCTACAGATAACTGAGATAACGCTAGATAAAACTCGCCACTAGGCAGCTGGGATTGCAAGAGAGTCCACTTTTAAGTCTGTATGATGTTCTGAGGCTGATATTGCTTGTATATGCAGTCGCTAGGGTGCTCTAAATAGTTGCAAGGGTGTCTGCACTGTTACCACAGTGATACTTTTTTAGACTAGTTGCCTGCTCGCATCAAAAGAGCCAACCAGCATGTCTCTATGATGTTGTGAAGCTGAGATTTGCCTTATTCACACTGCTGTACAGTTGCTAGCAGTGGTGTATAAAGTACCTGAAAGCCACACTCAAGTAAAAGTAAAAGTACAGATATCTAACCAGAAAATGACTTTGGTAGAAGCTGAAGTCACTGTTTAGAATATTACTTGAGTAAAAGTCTTAAAGTATGTGATATTTATTGTACTTTTGTTTTGTTCTACTGTAGTTTTCTTGTCCTATTTGCTTGTAATTCATTTCTTATTCTTATTTAATCACTGACTGTTTACTTGTCTTCAGTGAGCTTGAATTTTTTTTTAAGGCTAGTACAGGTGCATCACAATAAATTAGAATGTCGTGGAAAAGTTCATTTATGTCAGTAATTCAACTAAAATTGTGAAACTCGTGTATTAAATAAATTCAATGCACACAGACTGAAGTGAACTTTTCCACGACATTCTAATTTATTGAGCTGCACCTGTATTAGTTTTTTGTGACAATGACACCGGTGAAAAGAACCTTATTTAAAGCAAGAAAAAAAAAAAACTATTGTGATATCATGGTAGCGATATATATTACTCATATTGTGATATAAGATTTTGGTCATATCGCCCATCCCTACAGTACATCTTGGAAAAAAGCAACATACGAAAATATCGCAGCCTGCACCTGCCTACTTTATTACCTTATAAACTGAATCGCTTTATGAGCCAAGCCCAAACAAGCTCAAAGACACTTACAGTTTATATGAATTGCTAAAACACATTTTTTGAAACCATCACTCATTTTCTCAAAACCTTAAACACAAATACAAAACTATTCTAACTAAATTCACTGATGTGATAAACTGTAATAAGCGTTGCTTATAATAAGTGTACAAGGCAACCCTTCAACAGCGTGCTCTGCGAAGCAGCTTCCCAAACATGAACAAAAACCTACGGCTCTGTCGACGGGGGTTTCACTAAAATCTAAACATAACGAGTCTTTGGTCGCGGTAATATTACTTCGGTTAAAAACAGCGGATACAAAACGTGTGAGACGCCAGAATGTGGCTATGGTTATTATGGTGTCAATAATTGTAATAAATAAATAATAATAATAGTAAAAATAAATAATAACAATAAAGATGAAAAAGGAGGAGAAGATCTGGCTCACAGGATGAAATCAGACCAGTTTCATCCAGTCTGCTCAAAATCAGGGTCTTTTTCTCTGCAGTTCTGGAGCAGTCGTGCTCACGTTCGCACTGGGAGGCTAATGGGATTACAGCTGATTGTGAGAGGGATTTCTCACAGGGAAAAGAGGCTTGAGGAGCATTAAATATGCTCAATTTGTGCTAATACGCCGTTATGACAGCTGTGTTTGATTGAGGATCTGTGCTCGTGTGGATACAGTCAGTCACAATGCAGCAATGCACTTACACACATACAGGACTAATCAAAAGTATCTGATAAAATTATGTAGTTATACAGAAATGCTAGAATTAATTGTCAGTGACATTTTCACTTTATAGTCAATAGTATTTTTTATAGTTATAGTAATTATTATTATAATTATAGTATTTTATGTTTAAAGTATTTACATTTAGTCATTTAGCAGACGCTTTTATTCAAAGCGACTTACAAATGAAGACAATAGAAGCAATCAAAATCAACAAAAGAGCAACGATACGCAAGTGCTATAACAAGTCTCAGTTAGCTTAACGCAGTACACGTAGCAAGGGTTTTTTAAATTATATAATAAATAAAAAGAAACCAGATAGAACAGAAAAAGAATAGAGAAGCTAGTGTTACTTTTGTTTTGTTTTTTAAAGAAGCAGTTTTCAAGCAGTTAGTAAATGAATAGAGTGCAAGTCTAAAAAGGGGAAGGTTTTTTAAGAATAGAATTAGAACAGAGAGTGCTAGAGTTAGAGGGTCAAATAAAGATGGAAGATATGGTATTGTAGTATTTATATATTTTAAATACATTTGTATTTTAGTATTTTATATTGCATATTATTAAACAGATTGTTATTTTTATAGGAAGTAAGAAACTGTGTATTTAATTACTCATAAATCCATAGGAGCAGTTTTTAAATTTATACTAACCAATTTGAACTTGATAAAATGATAGTGAGAGAGAGAGAGAGAGAGAGAGAGAGAGCGAGAGAGAGAGAGAGAGAGAGAGAGAGTGTGTTTAGGAGATCAATAAATGAAAAAAAATAAAAAAAAATAAACTCATCAAATTCATGGGAGCAATTTATATTTAAAGTCTATATAAAATGGCATTCACAACCCACATTTCCTTTATAATTCAATGTAATCCTGAATTAAAACAGGACATTAAATAAGTACAAATTGCAGGGTGGGACTGACTCATGAAGTCATCTCTATATAACAGATGGTTTAATAGAAAGGGCTGAAAAATAATGCAGCCAACGGCAACCAAAAAGAAAAGTCATATCAGAGGCAGAGAAAGTTCATCCATTTTGCTGACAGATTTAGAAGACAAACATTTTTTCTTCTGAATAATGTGCACAGAATAATAACTAAAGAAAAGAATTGTGTATTATTACTTAAGGCCATTTTGATTTAATACTAAATATCAAGGCCTGTGTAACGTGGATGAAAGATGAAGCATTTTTACTGTAACAATTAAATTTCACTGTAATATTTTATCTGTAGATGAGTATAAAGCAGGGCTGCACGATTAATCGAATGCGATTGTCATGCGCATTTTGATAGTAATGCCGGTTCTATAATCAGCAGG